TATTTGGGGTGCCTCTGAGCTACAGCTCCTCCTAAATCTTGATGTCACAACTAACAACCTTCAAACTATTCAAGGAACAATGGACTCTAAGAAGTGCTGTATAGGTCAGTGGTGGCTAACATTTTGGGCTCCTGTGCCAAAAATTGTGCACGTGCTTGCAGGCTCACACTTGCGTGCCAGCACCCAGAAGGCAATATGCACCCTCTATGCTCCCTATGCATGCATGCACAATCCCCACCCCCTTACCTGCACTGTGCCACACAGCTGATTTTTGGCCTCCCTGAGGTTTTAGGAAGGCTTCTGCAGGCCGAAAACTAGGCCTGTTTGTTTCGTCACTTCTGGTATTTCTGGAAAAACAAGAAGTGACAAAATGGGCCTAGTTTTTGTCCTAAAAAGCCTACAGAATCCTGCAGAAGCCTTCCTAAAGCCTCTGGGAGGCCGAAAAAGGCCTCAAACCCACCCAAAATCAGCTGTGAGGTGTGCGCATGCATAGTGAAGTAAGTTTGCCTGCAGCTCGCGTGCTGGCACAAATGGTTCTGTGTGCCACCTGTGGCACATGTGCCGTAGGTTCACCATCACAGGTATAGGTAATCTCAATTTATGGTCACAATTGAGCCCAAAATTTCTGTTGTTAAGTGAGACATTTGTTAAGTGAGTTTGCCCAATTTTTTGACCTTTCTTGTCACAGTTGTTAAGTGAATCACCACAGTTACTTCAGGAAGTTACTAGCGGGGTTTTTAAGTGAATCTGGCTTACCCATTGACTTTGCTTGTCAAAAGGTTGCAAAAGGTGTTCACATGACCTTGGGACACAGCAATGGTCATAAGTAGGAGTCACTTGCCAAAGCATCTGAATATTGATCACATGCTCATGGGGCAGGGGTGCTACAAAGGTCGCAAGTGTGAAAAAATGGTCATAAGTCACTTTTTTCAGTGCCATTGTCACAGATCACTAAATGAACTGTTGTAAGTCGAAGACTACCTGTACTAGTAGCAGATATACAATATGACATTGGTTCTTGATGTTATACATATAGGCCTTCTAGCTCATGTTGTGTTTGCCAATTAGATCAATGCAACAATTTCAATAATATCTTTTTTGGCCTATATATCTCCCTCAAGAACACCTTCAGTCCAATCTCTTCAGCAAACATCTATTCACTATATGATTAAATATCCCATATTTAAACTTTCCCTTCTTTTCTTTTGCCTTTTATTGGTACCACAGCTTGCCTGACTTTTTTTTTCATTTTCCAGCATGGTTCATATGCTTTAAATAATCACAATTTCCTCTTTAACAGTTTTCACCTTGCTGCCCTCAAATCTTGGTTAAAACATTTTTATCAGTTTATTTGAGACTGATTTTTCTAAAGTAAAACTCCGTGTTTGTCTAGTAGTAAAACTTTTTGTCTACTTCAGATTGTGGGCAACTGAATTTTTTTTAATTATCTATTGCTTTTCAAGTATAAACTGAGCATCTTATCTGTGTTTCTTACACGCCCAGACAGTCCATAGGAAAAGAGGGTAAACTACAAACATATAAAATGGAATGAAATAATAAATAAATAAAACAAGAATGGTGAATAATTTATCATTTCTGAAGTTCCTGATTAGATTCTAGTCCTTTCCATTTGATTCCAAATGTAAAATGCCGAAGAAGAACCTTCTATCACAGTTAGCTTAATATACACTATAAGACTTGAGCAGCCATAATAATTTTATAATAATGTTCCTAAAATGTATAGGCCCAAAGATAGATGACATAGCAAAGCAGAGGCAAAAGGCCTACTGAGAAAAAGACTCGAGATAAATCAGGAACGTCAAGAGACTTTAGTTTTCTTTATAACTGTTGATGACAGTATAATGATCTTTCAGCATCAATGGATTTCTCAAACTTGAATTTGCCTGCAGTCTCTCACGGGAAACAAGGACAATGGCTGACTTTCAGAAAGCCTGAAAAATTGAGCGTCACCCTGCCTTAAAAGATCCCAGTCATTTTTGGAACTTTATTTTTCCATAATGCATACTGTTTGCTTAGAGGTTCTAGCAGGGGAGGCACAGCTATCGTACACAATTGACTGAAGATTGGTATACTCTTTCTAACTGGGTTGGTGGTTCTTTTCCAATGAGTGTGCAGCTTCAAGAGGGACAGACATGAAGATGTGAGGAAGGGAGGAACGCCTACCTAGCAAGCAAGATGAGCCAAACCAATCCTGGTGATAATTGGAATAGATCACCAGGGCTGCCTCAGGTGGTCCTCATATTCATCATACACACTCTGTCAGTATAGCTTCTAGTAGGTATGAATATTTTAATAATTATAAAGCCAAAGACATTCCCATAGATATGGGACATTCTGAAGCATACTCTGTTCAATCAACTGGTAAGCACAGTAGCTAAGCCGGTTTGCTAACTTTTAATATGAACAGAACTCATGGCAAAATAAATTATTTTTCAATGGCCTCAGCAACCTTTTAAACAGTTGAACACTGCTCATTCTTAATTTTCTGAGGGAATATCATTATGTAGAAAAAGCTTGACAGACACCAATAAGCAGTCAAGTAGAATGAGAAGTATAAACAGGGTAATTTGAACCTATAGTACTCAAATGATACGTTACATTTGCAGCGACAGAAATTACATTGAAAAATGCAGTCATCTTGCTAATGCATCTGCTTTACTACAAGCTAACCATCCCGTTCATTTTTTTAAGGATACCATTCCATTTAGAGCTATGCAGTTATTTTTCACTTTAAAAGGAGATCAACAGAAATCTATAGAGCCCAACAAAGAAAATCTCACAAAAAGACTTGTATCATTATAATGAAGGTTGTATTCCCTAGGGCCTGTTTATTTATTTGAAGTTTATCCCTGTATCACTTTAGTAACCTTGCAAAAAAGATGAGGTCACTTCTTCCCAAGTTGAACCATTGGTCCATCTGACTTAATAAATGTCAACAATAATAGTCAGAGTCCAGGATTTCAGGAAGTAGTTTCTCCTAGCACAATTAGAAAAGCCAGGATTTGAATCTGGAACCTTCCATAGGCAATGCTTGCAGATCCACAGACCTTCCCCCGTGCTGAATGAGAGTGATTTGCTCAAGGACACCCAATGTGTTTCACAACTGACTGGAATACTGATTGTACTATCTCAATTCTAATAAAGCTGGTACAAACAGGATTTTTTTTTTTTAACCCAAATTGAACATACACATTGTTGAATATCTTATAGTACTTTTCAGTCAACTTCAGCTAGATCTTCTGCTTTAATATTGCCTGCTTTAATTTCCAGGCTATACTAGCATATGATTCATCCACTAATAATGCTTTTTTAAATGAGTCTCCTGATAATTACAGAAAATCTGTTAAAATCACAAAACAAACATAACAATGGGCTTGTTTTCTAGGGGAATCGTGTTACATTAGTTCAATGAGGTCAAATCTGTGTTCATAAAATTTGATGCTGTTTTTGATATCCGAATAGACATTACAGTGAAGTACCCAGTCTTGCAGTCTTTTAACTCATTCGTGACTATGTGAAATCCTATTAACAGGAGACATTTTGCACCCCTCAAAATGATATGAATCTCACATTAAAATACATTACGACAATATACATTTATTCCAGATGGTCTACGAAAGTAGAAAGAAGTTTCTCTACTTTATAAATAAATACAAAGTTTTAAGGACACCACTGACACTAACAAACTAGTCAGCAGAAATGGGTGTGGTATCTGCAGCACCAATAGGTACTTTTGGAAAAGATTATGGGGAACCGCAACAGAATTCTAAATGTTCAAATATAGCCTTGTTTGTTCACATGCTTAGAAAGCGAACCTTTCAATCACTGGGATCTTTACGGCATTCTAATATAATATGCAGCAAGTGAAAACAAATGGGTCATGTGGCACTCAAGGCATTCCATTTAAGAAAGTAGAAAGCAAGATTGATACAGTATTTAGATACTTGTTGTCACTGACTTGGTCTATGACCGGCTGACATCTGTGCTCCATCTGACAGCAGCAGATTGGCATTCTCTGCACATGTCCTTTCAATTCCTGTCATCTGTTTTTTTTGTTTTTGCTGTTCTACGCACATTGCATTATTTACTCAGTGGTGCTCATAAGGGGCACCTTCTCTTCACAAGTATATTCTGGGATAAATGCTGGATTCAACATTAGGGAGGGAAGATGACAGAACACTACTTCCTTTCAAAGAGCTCCTGAGATTGAGTTAACCCGTCTGTAGGCTGCAGAAAACGTAAGTCTCCCTCATACATTTCATCCGCTGTTTACATTTACTTCACTGTTGATACGTTAGCTAATTTAATATGCCTTTTGTGTCTGCCCTGGTAACTTCCCAGTTAATAAAACTATTAAATAACTGCATTGTAAACTGCAAATATGCCTGAGGAAAAGCCTCAGCAGTCTTTGTGTTAGCAGTACATATAAATATGGCTTTTTTTCTTTAAAAGCAGCCATTTAGTAAAAAGAATGCTATCATCAGCACAGGGACCTGAATTTCAAGAATTGCCAGAAAGGACTATAGAATCCTTGTTTAGTGAAGCAAGCAACCTTTGTTTTTTCCCATTTATTAATGATTCAATATTGCAGTAAGCCAGCAATTAATTAATATGATCAATACAGCACTAGATATTAAGAGACATCCTTTCTTGAGAAGTATAGGGAAATGAATATTAATGTATGTGCGTATATATGTATGTATATATATTTACATATACACATATGTATAATGCACCGATAATTTACTTTCATTACTGTAATGTCTTCATAGAACTTTCATTTTTCATTAAATCATTCATAACAAGGCCTGCTAGCAGGTAATATAGTTATGTATTATCAAGTATCTAGTCTGGCTCCTTTAAGTTACCCTCATTTAATTTCTCAAACTAAAAGGAATGCAAGATTAATAACCAGATACTGCTAAGTAAAGACAGGCAAGCAGATTCACAGAGACATATATGTGAAGTTATATACTCACCATTAGCACTGCAAAGTTACCGAAGTGAGTACTATGAAGAGTGGTAATATTGTCTGCAGAGCTAATTATGTGGCACCCTTCTCCCCACCAGCCTCCATGTCCATCTAGAAGGTCAAAAGCCCAAAAGACTGCAATGGGGTTTATGCCCTGGGTAAAGTGCTTCAGCGTTATAATAAGAGGACTGGTGAGGTTTCCGATATTGCACCCATCTGCCAAAGGAACAAACTGAATTAAAGCAATGAAGTGGAAAATGCTTTATTGCTATATGCTCTTTATAGAACCCGATAGCAATTTTTGTACACATACGTAGACATTAGAGAGAGCAAATATCCCTCTCCTGGTCTATCAGCAGAAAGCAATGTACAAAAGTTTGGAATAGTTAATATTGCCTATAATTGCCATTTTATTAGGTTAATCTGCAAATAACAGTGCTACTTAAATGTCGTGAATAAAAACGATGGCTTCAAACAATAGTAAATTTAAATGAATATCTTTGATAGAATTAACATCAGAGACAATTTCGTAGTCCAAAAATTAAAGTATAACCTTCTAAAATATAAACCCAATTTGGGATATAATGAAATAATTAATAGATCATGGTCTGAATCTTACACTAAAAGGAGAGTATGTATGTATCCCGTTGCTTTCATCAACAAAAACACTTGTTATACTGTACATTTATTATTTCAAGAAATACACTGATGACTATCAATGTACATGCAACAGGACTGCAACCAATCTTTTTAGGATCCAGACTTTCTTTGGCTATAATCAGAATTAAAATGCAACATTCCATTTCCTCCTCCTACACACAATCCTTTTTGTTGTTGTTTTTTTACTTTCTGTTAAACTTCCGCAAGCCACAAAAGAGAATCCTATCATATCTACAATTGCCGAGCTTCTCAGCCGTATAAGTTTCTTTTTAAAACATGAAGACACCAGTAATAAAACACACATTTCTGTTAGAGCAGAGGCAATTCTCAGATCAGCATACCTGCATGCTACACTGCACCATTATACGAGATACTCTCATGTATAGCCAGGCTTTAGAATTTAAAAAACAAAACAAAACCCAATGCAAAACACTTACCTATTTTAATGAAGACTACGGGTGTGCCAATGACCCTCTGCTTCCCATAACCTGCAAGGTGAGACGAGTTTGCGGTGTTGGGAAAGAGTTTTCCATTCCGAAAGGCAATAAACTGTAGCTTGCAAGAGGAGTTATCAACAGATTGCCAGGCTGCAGATGAGGAGAAGACAGACTGTGGCAAATGAACTGAAGCTATAGCCACAGCATTCTGTACAATCAAAAGTGGGGGGGGGAGGAGAGAGAGAGGGAGAGAGAGAGAGAGAGAATGAATTTAAAATGCAAATCACAACAGGGCTGCTTTCATTATATTTTAAACTCCTGTACGAGCAAATGTGCTCTGCTTCAATTTTCCAACATGCTAGAAACAACCAAAGAAGCAGGAGCTGTAACCATGGGAATAGGACTGGTACAGTGCATATTAAAACAGAAAACGTTTTGATTGAATGTGAAGATCTTTATGGTCAAGCTCCCTGCTGCAGAGGTGAGAATGGTTCTTACCATGCCTGCTAGAGGGTCCATCAACACTGCAGATCTGATTTAAAGAGACAACCTCTCCTAGGTTTTCTTGTTCACTTAAAACAGAATCAGACAACTTACAGTAAAATTGCATCTTTTTGAAAGGATAATTACAAGAGATTGAAATGCGTTTTACTAGTAGCTAAAACTGCATCAGGGAATGGGTCTAAACTGAGGTATGCAGTACAGTCAGTTTCATATTTCTTGTGGGACTATGATTTCATCCTTTAAAAAAATTACTCAGTTCCCCAATGCAGACTTTCAAAATCACATATCCTTAACCCTAACGTGCTAGAAGAAGCAAGGAGTATTCAGGCTATTAGAACACAAAAAATATGTAACCGAGTTGTAACTGTCTTTTTAGGTTATTGAAACATGTGCAGATTGGCATTATTAAATTAATGATTTCCCCATCAAGAAGATTTTTTCCCTTTACACAAATAATAACCTTGTTGTCATTAAGGCCAGACATCTATATGGCAGTTAGAGCAGGGCGGAAGACACAGAACGCAAAATACTGGCTGAGATTTACAAGCTCTGGTATGAAAAAATACAACAGCAGCATGAAGAATGAGTAGGCTTCATTTCCCTGATACTAAAATGCGGCACCTGTAGTACAACACTGTCCCACAATTTTAGAAGACAGAATATTTTTGAAAATAATTCATCTCATCCAAGTTTTATAGTTGTACAAACATGTACTATGTTAAAATAGCAGTTATAGTAGCAAGCCGTTTCAGGTAAAGAAAACTCCACAATCACAATCATAATCATCATGAAAGAAGTGACAAATCAGAACTTGAATTAGTGGAGTTGTAGTACACAAAACACTTTTCCCTTAGAAGCCAAAGAGGTAGCACAAACACCCATTTAATTTTAAGGCCCTGATCTATTAGAGAGATGTTTTAGCTCAAGTAGCAAGAGCACCACCAAAGGGCTAAGTATCTGTGGTATTATTTAATATTATTACTGCAGTATAATATTGCTTTCTCTTTTCCTTTAACTACCAATACCAGAATATGGGCCTCCATAGTCATGATGATTATATGTAAACTCTTCCCACAAAAGTGTGAAATTTTGCAAAAAATCTGTATTTTTACCCCAAAAGTCTAGGTTTTCTACCTCTGCCTAAATACTTACATATACGCTTAAACTCATGTTAGAGTAGCTTAACACACACCCAAGACACAAAGGTCATAAGCCATCTTACTTAGATGATGATTGTGAAACTGGAGGTGCCTGTGCTATACTTTCATTCAGGATGAATACAGCAAGTAGTAGCCAAATTTTTAATATGATAAATTTTACCATCACTACCACAAAACATGAATCCATAATTATGAATCATAGGGATATGAAAAGCTGACTAAATTTGATTTATTTTGTTACAGTTTTTCTGCTGTTCTAGATTCAGTATGCCTACTTCTTAAGTCTTACTGATTATTTGCACATACTTATCTCACCTGAAACCTGGGATGTCTTATCATTTTATAGGCAATCTAATAAAAGATGAGCAAACAACTTACTCAAAATCTATTTCAAGAGCTAAGAAACTAGCTTATAAATGGACAACTGAACCAGTTAGACATAGTACTGAAGGTTTTGTGATACAAAAATATAAAGGACTGCAGAAATATTCAAAAATAAGAATACACACAGGTATTATAAAATACAGTGAACCTGGTTTGAAGTGCTGGGGGCCAGTGAAGCAGTTTGTTAAGCAAAAAAAACCATCCAGGGACCAGTGGATTCATGATGCTGACTAAAGCATACCTTAACAGAGCTCTTTGTAGCTTAGGGTTGACATGAGGGATTCTTGGTGCTTTCTGAGCTTGCTTGTTTTCTTGCAGATGTTTCATCATCCAAACAGCACTGATGATGTTATCTAGTTTGGGTAATGAAACGTCTGCAAGAAAAGAAACAAGCTCCCCTAAAATATCCCATTTCTGATCTTCACTCTAGACTTCTTAAGGTTATCATTGATCCGTCCTGTCCACCAGGATGCAGCAGCTTGTCAGTAGGTTTGCTCAATCAGTCCCAAATACCCATGAAACCAATATGGGCTATCCATACCCTGGACATTTGCTTTAGCTGCCCCTGGGGGCCTTTGAAGAAGTAGATGTGATCTTTAACTGGAACAGAGGACGAAACTACTTTTGGCAAGCCAGCCCTTGTATGAAAACATCAAAGGCAGAGCAGTGGTGGTATTCTACCACTTCGGCCTGCTTCGGGGCGAACTGGTAATAAACAATGCTATTGTTCAGCCAAACTGGTATTTCTGCCCCCCTTTCTGATGATCAGTTATGCCGGGGTCCCCCTCGCTGTCTTACTACTTCTCCCAGGAGGCTTCCAAGGCCCAGGAAATAAAAAAATGGAGCATGCAGCACACACCCCGCTCCATTTTTTGCTCCTGGGCCTCAGGGAAGCCTCCTGGGTACAAAATCAGCCCCCCAGGATTCTTCCCTGAGGCCCAGGAGGCAAAAAAAAAAAAATGAAGCGCAGGGGTCTGTGCAAAAAAAAAAAAAAAAAAAGAAGCCATGCTCACTTAGTCACATGGCCACACCCATCTAGGCGCTTCCACCTAGCCACGCCCACAGAACCAGTAGTAAAATTATTTGCATCCCACAAATTGCTCCTCGGAAGAAGCCACCTGTTGGATGGATCAAGGGTGAGAGCTAATTCATCTTTTTCTTTTTGCAATTATGTACCTGGAATTGTTCTGTAATAATATCATGGTAAGGGTGAGCATAATTGCAGATAAAAGTATGGTACAGGAGGAGTAATACCTCTTCGTGCTACTCTCTTACAAGGAAACATTATGGTAGCTTTACCTCCTAGCTTGCGTGTGCTGTTGCTTAGTGTATGTATACTTAGTACAAGACAAGAAATATTAGACCCAGGATCCCAAATTACAATAGGAGTCACCTTTTGTATTCAAAGCTTTTTCTCTATTCAAGTTCTAATTCTGAAATTTTGTATCATGGGTATTCAGGATAGACTGGGGATTTTGTGGTTTGTACTGTATAGCAACACATGTCATCCAGAGGTGGTATTCAGCAGGTTCTGATTGGTTCTGGAGAACCGGTAGTGGAAATTTTGAGTAGTTTGGAGAACCAACAGATACCACCTCTGACTAGAGATTTTACAGTATCCTTCTCCTGCCATGCCCACCAAGCCACACCCACAGAACCGGTAGTAAAAAAATTGAATCCCACCCCTGATGTCATCCATCTTGCTAATCAAGTGTTCCTACCTGAGCTGGCAAGAGTTGTCTTAGACTTGATGTTGGGGATTGTTAGTATGATAGTTATGAAGGATTTCAACATCCATACCGGTCTGCTTTGGCTGAGGCTCCTCAGGACAGACCACATCCTGTTGGGATTTAGGCTTACAGTGATTCTCTGCAGGGATGGAACCATCAGAATAGCTCCAATATAGATTCTAATGGATTTCAAAGAGTTCAAGATTTCCAATCGGTATGGTTGGCATTTCCATCAATATTTGGCTGTTTTGTGAAATAAGAGACCACTTGAAACAATAACTCCTGAGCATCTTTTCCCATGTGCAAAGCCCATTTATTTAATTGGTATAAATTTTAGCTGAAGGAAATGGAGCAAGTAAGGAAAACTCATCTTGCATCTGACTGAACACTCATAAAAACTAATTATCAAGTCTGCTTTGTAGTGATTATGGTTAAACAGCCATTTTTCTCTTTGTGTCATCTCAGTGTCACCCAGTGGAGCTTTTTCAGTGATTTAAGGCCTTTTGGGACCTGGCCCAGTTACATATTGTATAGAACCCTCAGTAGCTCACTATGATATGTTGGTGACACATTTATATGGCAACATTGATTGCATTCTTAGACTCTAGAATATAGCAGTTCAGTTTGTAGAGCTGTCCAGAATTATCTTATCAGACATCTTTGACTGAATTAAATTTTAAGGATTGATGATAGAGAGAAGATGCACAGGCAAGATTAGGCAACCACATGATGCTCGCTTCCTGCCTTTGTCAATTATTCCATCTAGTAGGAAGGTGGTGTTCAGATGGATAATAATAATAATGCATTATATATGTATAAATAATGTATACATATATCCAGCAATTATGAATTCTTCCTTACAAGGAGGAGTGGTCCCTCTTTCTATAAAGAAGGCTCAGGTGAGACTACTCATCAAGATGTTGTAACTGGATCCGGAAGATCTATATAATTATAGGCTAGTGGGCAACATTCTTTCCTGGATTTGAGCATCCAGTGGATGACCAGATCCAGACACTCCTGGATGAAACACATTTTCTGGATTCATCGTATCAACTGGTGTTTAGGCCTTAGTCCACTGTTCAATGGTCTTTCACAGGGGATAGGGGAAATGAAATGTTGCTCCTCCTGGGTCCTTCAATAGCTTCAATTCCACTGACCACATATTCTTCTTGAGAAGCTGTCCCAAGTAATTGAGGAGGAAACACCTTTAAACTCATACCTGGATAGCTATTTCCATTTCTGCTCAATCTTATACCTGTTTGGGTTCCAAAAGTTTCATTTCTTCATATGCTGTTTAACATCTACATGAAATCACTGAGTGAGATCATTCAGAGATTTAAAGTAAGATGCCACCTGTAACTGAACTCAAACTCATTTTTTCCATCAAATCCATGTGAAGCAGTGAAACTGCAGAAACACAACCTGCTGTG